AAGTGGTCCCTATTTATCTACTTGCAGTTTCTTGCTTTCAAACTGCTAGGTTGGCAGGAGCTGGAACTAGAGACGGGAGCTCACTCCGTCATGCGGGAACTTGGGTTTCGAACTGCTGAACTACTGACTTTTCACAACCTGCAGTTCAGCGTCTTCACCCCTTGAGCCACCGCAGCTCCTTTTTTTTGACATAGAAGGGTGTAAACTGACTTTAAGGCCACACTGTTCGTATGCTTCATCATTGTTAACCTGCTCTGAGTGAGCTATCAATTGTTTCACATGCCCTATATCATTTGCAGGCTGCTGGTGTTCGCAACAGAAATCAGTCAGGTGCCTCTGGGAAACTCACAAGAAGGACATCAAGGCAAGAGCTCTCCCCTGCTGCTTTTCTAGCATGTGATACTCAGAAGTGTTATTTCCTTTGAACACAGGGGTTCCATTTAACTTCCCTGACGATCCACCTTTTATTATAGGTGCAATCATCATGAACTCAGAATATGGGGAAAATGTTTAGAACTAGTTTGAACATATGGCAGAGTTAACTAGTGAAACTCAGTAGTTTTCTAGCATGTGATACTCAGAAGTGTTATTTCCTTTGAACTGGACAGGGGTTCCATTTAACTTCCCTGACGATTCACCATTTATTATAGGTGCAATCACCATGAACTCAGAATATGGGGAAAATGTTTAGAACTAGTTTGAACATATGGCAGAGTTAACTAGTGAAACTCAGTAGCTGACATATCTCCTGCACTGTAATCTGTACACGGACCTAAGGATCACACATTTATATTCTCTTTTAACCAGTATGGGTGCTTGTTCTGATGCACTTAAGGTGCATAGACTTTTAAGTGATCTCAGCCCGGACATTACAGAGAAGGTGGCTAAGTTTCTCTCCTTGGCTTTAAAGCTTGGTGGAATCTAAGGTTAAAAGAATCTAAGGTACTTTTAGATTTTTATATGTGTGCTTTCTACTGGTTTTAAAATGTATAAATGGTACTGATATTTTATGCCAATAAAGGCTGACTTGACTTGAGCTGACATATCCATGTTTCAGGATCTACGGGGTACAAAGGAATGAACTTAATATCTACATGGAGCAGAAGTACAATTCCCATCACAATCTCCGGATTATAAATAAAATAAAAGGTTTCATTTTGGTTTGCCTATCCCAAGAGAGTGTTTTATAAACAGGAAAACATTGGGTTGCCTATCCTAAGAGAGTATTTTACAAAGACCTAAGATTCATCTTAGATACCTATTTTTATTTTTACCTTGCCAAAAGGATCCCAGGAAGCTTAAAGCTATATTATAGCATTTAAAATTATGACAGTTCAGTTTCTACCTGTGTGTATATGCGGGGTGGGTGGGACAGATGTTACATTGTCAAGGGCTTTGATTTCTTCCAACTCTCTACTAGATAACATGCTTAAAACATGGGACAAATACAGGAAACTCTTAGGTAAAGGTAAAGGTTCCCTTGCTCGAAAGCCAGTCGAATCCGACTCTAGGGTTGCGGTGCTCATCTCCGTTTCCAAGCCGAAGAGCCAGCGCTGTCCGAAGACGTTTTCCATGGTCATGTGGCCGGCATGACTAAACACCAAGGCGCACAGAACGCTGTTACCTTCCCACCGAAGTGGTACATATTTATCTACTTGCAATTTCTTGCCTTCGAACTGTTAGGTTGGCAGGAGCTAGAACCAGAGACGGGAGCTCACTCTGTCATGCGGCACACTCGGGTCTCGAACTGCTGAACTACCGACCTTCCATAGCCTGCAGTTCAACGTCTTAACCACTTGAGCCACCGCAGCTCCCCAGGTATTTCTCCTTTAATGACTTTTATTAATCAGAACTGGTTCCCACCAGGGAAGGATTTAAGTGAATTTAGAGAATGGAGATATTTTGGCTTGTTGGTGATTATTAATTGGATCTTAGATGAATCTCCTTTTCTGTAGGAAAATATATTAATACATATAGTTACATTCCTGAGACAGTTGGGCAGAAATGTGACACATTGGCCCCGGTCACATGGGAGGATTTGCCCCACGAAATGGACAGAGGGAGGGGGCATCAAACGGGCGCGATCATACGGCAACATCTGGGAAGCGTAGCGCACCTGTCTCCAACCCATATCGTCGGCCCGAAGAAGCGGATTTAAAAGACACTGGGGAAAAGGTAGTAGCTTCCGGTAAATGCGCAGCACGGGTGGGCGTCTGATCAGAGACATGCTGGTAGCCCGTGGCATCTAGCAGCTGTCCGCGACCCGCGCATGCACAGTAAGGCAGTACTGCTGTGTTGCCTCCCTGGTGTGATCGGCTGCCGATGGCCTGAGGACAGAGCCGCGGGGGACCATAAGATCGTGCTCCTACACGTCTTTTAGCTCCGCCTCTAAAATGCCTCCCTTTCAGTGCGGATTTTCCTGCTCGTGTGACCAGGGCCATTATATACCCTACCGCACATGATTTCCTTTGTTCTTTAGATGTTTTATAACGATGTTGTTGTTAAAGTAACATTCTGTCAAGTCTATTTAGGCTGTAATTCTAAACATACCTATTTTTTATTTTTTCAATGTTTACCTTGACAAAAGGTTCCCAGGAAGCTTAAAGCTATATTATAGCATTTAAAATTATGACAGTTGTTTAAAAATGATAACAGATCACAAAAAGTTCAGTTTCTACCTGTATGTATATGCGGGGTGGGTGGGACAGATGTTACATTGTCAAGGGCTTTGATTCCTTCCAACCCTCTACTAGATAACATGCTTAAAACTTGGGACAAATATAGGAAACTCTTAGCCCCAGGTATTTCTCCTTTAATGACTTTTATTAATCAGAACTGGTTCCCACCAGGGAAGGATTTAAGTGAATTTGGAGAATGGAGATATTCTGGCTTGTTGGTGATTATTAATTGGATTAAAGATGGGGCAATCTTAGATAAATCCATAGTGGAAGAAAGATTTGGAATTAAGATCTCTTGGTTTAGATATTTTCACCTGAAAAATCTGACCACTAATCTGATCAGGTCCAAGGATCTGCTCTGACCACTAACCCTGTTTGAGGACTTAATTCAGAATGGGAATGATGGTAAACAAAGTATGATTTCTGGCCTTTATAGATCATTACTAATGGCAATATATAAAGACCCTTTACCATACAAAAAAATGGTCTGATTCTTTTAAACTGGCCTTTTCAAAATCTGATTAGAAACCGATTTGGGATTTCCCCTCCAACAACTCCTGCTATTGGAATATTAAACCCTAATTTTATAAGTTGTTATCTAATTGGTATTTAACACCACACAAATTAAACCTGATGAACAAGTCTTTGAGCCTACTATGGTCCCGGTCACACGAGCGGGAAAATCCGCAGTGGAAGGGAGGCATTTTAGCGCTGGATCAAAAAGATGTGCGGTAACGCAATCATATGGTTCCCCAAGGTGCCACGCATATGCCAATAGCCGGCGATCACATTTCAATGTTGAAGCGCATCAAAGGCTAGGAAGAACCGGCATGGTGCGATCAGACGTGCAGCGCTCGGCACCAGACAGTCACATCCAGTGTGATGGGACACATGTGCGTGCTGGATGCGCTGGATTAACTCCACTTCCATGATCCGACGCTCGCCCGCGACCCACATTTTCTGGATGCTATTACACTTTTTCTGGTACTTTTTAAATCCGCTTCTTTGGGCTGATGGTACGGGTTGGTGACGGGTGCGCTATGCTTCACAGATGTTGCCGTATGATCGCACCCATTTGATGCACCCTCAATCCGTCCATTTCTTGGGGCAAATCCTCCCATGTGACCGGGGCCTTTGTTGGAGATCCTGTAAGTAGGAAGGTACTGTTTTACATATGTGGTGGGAATGCCATCTGGTTCAGGACTTCTGGAAGGTGGTTCATAAAGAGATATCCAACATGGTTGGTCTTTTATTGCCTTATTCTCCAGAATGTTTGTTATTAGATTTTTGGGCCGACTCTTTGCTTGATAAAAATACCACATTTCTTGTCTCTAACTCTAATTATTAGGAGATGGCTCCTCAGTGCCCCTGCTGAAGTACCCACCTGAGCTGAGAGGTGGTTTGCCCCTCAGTTGGGGAGACCAAGTAGATGCATGTATAAGCAACAGCAATTATAAGGATGGAGACAGGTAAAGATGCTGTGATTTGGCTGAAATGCCTTGGAGATCCATGGGGACCTCAAGTAAGATAATGATGTCTCTTTGCCTCCCACCTGTGCTCTATCTGTATATCGGTAAATAAAGCAAGTATTACAAACATGTCCTAGTATTATAAAGCAGGTATTAGAAAAACACCCTAAATGCTGCCCTGGGGATCACTATAAGTCTCCTAATGTAACAGTACCTCTTTAGTTGTTCCTGCTGTTTCTGACTGGCATGTCTCATTTTCAATATGGCTTGTTTCTTCAAAGAGTAGCTTCTTTCCACAACAGAGAAACTGAAATACGAAAATAAAACACTGCCCATATTATTATTATTATCTTCATTCTTTTCCTGATGTAGACACTTCACCATAGCATAGGCTTGCCAAGTCCCCCCGGGGGGCGGGGAAACCCCCGTCCCAGAGGCCCGTTCCCTACCGCCACTGGATCGGGCCCCGGGGGGAACTCCACCCCGATGTGCACATCACCAGGAAGTGATGCGACCATGCCGGGCATGCTGGGGGCGGGGCCACGGTCATCCGAGGGAAAACTCTATGGTTTTGATCCTCAAAAAACAGGATCACGAAACTGCGGGGGAAATCGGGCAAAGCCGTGGGTCAAAATGCAGCCCCGCGGCTTCTGGTGTGAAATTGACCAATAGTATCGGGGCAAACGGCGGCGCAACATTGAGGCAGCTCTAGTGCAAAATCAGCCTTTGTATGTGTATGGGGGGATACACAAAGCTGCCTCTGTGCAGGCTTCACTTTGCTACCACAGAGGGAGCTTGCATCTCCTCTGCCTTTACTCCCCTGCCTCGAAATCCTGATCCAACACTGACTTAAACGCCTTCCCCTGTGCTTTGCTCATGGTTTTGTGTTTTTAAAAAAGCCATTCTGGCTATTTACCCTGGCTTTTTTTTTTTTTTTTTTGCTTTGTTGCAATGACCTGCATTGTTTCGGGTGTGCTTAGTGAGTTCCTGTGGAAAGGCCTTCTGTGATGAACTGACCTCCAAAAAGCAGGATGCTTAGGAGAACAAATTCAGAGAGCTGGGAGATTAAAGGTTAATGCCTCGCTATAAAGCACTTTGATTGACAGGCTGCTGCCTGCATGCACCCCCTTCTCTCTGATTGGTTAGCACCAGCTGAGGAGAGTTTTATAAACTTGTGAGTCTTGTCGGAGTCAGTCAGTCATCATTTGGACTTTGACTTGGCAGTTGCCGGTCAGGAGAAGTGTGTGTGTCAGTCTGAGGGAAACAGACAAGTCACTTGAGAAGTGAAAGGACACACACGGTACACCAACACATTTGGGGAAAAGTTCAGAAATCAGAACTTATCGTCTAAGTGTGAGCACTCGCTGAATTCCGCTTGTTCACAGTCTCCAGAACCGGGGGTTGAGCTTTGCCAGAAGAGGCTGGGCAGTTGGTGGGAAACTGCCAGCCTAGCCAAACAGGAAAGGATTTTCTATGAAACTATTGCTGAAAGAAATCTACAAGATAAACCAGTCTCTCACAGCAAAGAACTGAGCCTCTTAGAATTTAAGCTTCAATTATACTCTGTTGCCTGCTCAAGATATTCTAATTTTCTTTTAAAGAACTACAGTTTCCTCAACTCATCATCCCCTGCCCTATTCCTGATCCAACTGTGCCTGTTCAATAAAACCTACCTTTTTGTTTCAACTTTACTTTGTGTCAAGTGCCATTCCCAAAGGGTTATATAAAAGGGGTCCTGCTGAGTTACAAGAAAACTCTGGCCTGTGTAAGAGTCAGAGTGGTGAACAGTGTTTTGGCAGGAGACTCTGCCTCACAAAAGAGAAGAAGCAGGGGTCCATCATGCCGTCTCAGCAGCCACCCTGCCATTATAGAACTACCATTGCCATTAAGGAGCTTCATTTAACCCCCTCACAGTAAGTCATCCAGCTGCACTTGAAAACATATTTATGCTAGATGGCCTTTGAATAGCTCTCATGTGCATTTTTTTAATGTCCCATTGGTATTATGGCTTTTTACGACTGTATTTTATGTTTTTGCACTGTGAGGCACCATGACTATTTTGTTGGAAGGGCAAAATAGAAATTATCTAAATAATGGAGTCAAGCTGACACATATTTGTCACGTCACCATTTCATAACATGAGTGCTAGAATATCAGACTATGAATCTCAGTAGCTCAGTATTGAGTGGAGTGTTTGCCTTTTTTTCCGCCTGAATGGAGATATATATTCCCCCCTGTGCGTTGTTAGCCTGTTTTCCATGCCAGAGCACTGTGAAGAACTAAAAAGACACAATAATAAAAAAGTGGTACTCCCTACTCTAAGGAACAAGGAACAAAAGGCATGATATAGTCAAGGTTAAAGCAAGATTTCACTCGGACAGAAATCAGTAGGTCTTCAGTGTGCTTAAATCTGGCTGGATCATACTAAAAATGTGTATTTGTATATATCCTACTGAAGTAAAACCTCTCAGGGTCTACATTCTAGAAACATGTTTCTTTGGAACTGCCGATACCAGCGTGTGAGCTGATTACCGTTTCATGGATGGTAAGTAGCTCCTGTCTTCTGTTATTGGAAGAGTTGCTTCTCACTTCCTCGTAAACAAAGTCATACACATCCATCATTGCATCTTCAGCCTACAAAGTGAACACAGCAAGAAGAAGATTTTGCAAGTGCCAGCCATTTCTCAAGGTAGAATCTCAAATCACAGGCAATCATAGTCTGTATGCCGTGATACTACAGGAGTGCAAAACAACAACAACAACAACACACACATTATGGAGTATTGGGTACAAAATCCAATTTACTGAAAACCAAAGCATTCACTTTGGTTTTATCAACAAGTATATGTTTCTAGCCCTTGTGGCTGCAAAAAAATATATGTGAAAGTATACAGGGCTGGGCAATGCCAGCCAAAATTAAAACTGCCAAAGACAAAGGGGACCCTTAGTGTATAAATATTGTCACAAACAATATCCACCAAGGGAAGACCATCTACAATTCACAACTATGTCCAAAACTATATATTATAGTCATTGAAAGACAAAGAAGGGTTAGTGGCCGCAACCCAATAGAGTATGTAAACATAGATCCAACAATTTGCTCATAACTATCAAACATAGTTTAAACAAGAAACATAGTCAAGACCAACAGTAGGCTCTTCTGTAATTCCATACATAAGTGGTGTCCATAGACCTCCAAACTGAAAGTAACTGTAACAGAAGACTCCCACTGTGGAAAGAATAACAGCCGAAGGCCTCTCCCAGGTATGAATCAAGTGTTTCAATTATCTTCAACAGCGGCTGGTAAGACGGAACCCAATTTCCAAAATAACGTAGGCACAGCTCAAAAGCTTCAATGGAATCCTAGGGTTCAACTTTATACTCTACATGTAGTAGAATTCAGTGTTTCTTGGTACAGGATGTGAATTGCCTGGGCACAGAATTGTAATTGACTTCGGGCTGAGTAAGAACATAAGAACATAAGAGATGCCAATGTTGGATCAGGCCAAAGGCCCATCCAGTCCAACACTCTGTATCCCACAGTGGCCAGAAATACCAGGTGCCATCAGGAGGTCCACCAGTGGGGCCAGGACATTAGAAGCCATCCCACTGTTGACCCCCCCAAGCACCAAGATGACAGAGTACACACATCCCTGCTCATATTATCTCTTGAGAATGAATCAAGACAGCAGGTAATGATGTCAAGGAGCTACAAAAAATCTCCCTGAAGCTTTAGACACCAGCTAGATTGACTCCACTGATGAAATATCTGAAATTAATATTTATTTATTTATTATTCATATTTATACCCCACCCTCCCAGCGAACCCGCGCTTGCTTTAGAATTCAACACACATAAGGCATTCTTACAGTGCAAAACAAATATTCAGCCAAGTAAACCAGTCCAGAAGATTCACACCCTGAAAGAACGTTATTTGATTTGGCTTTTTTTTTTTTTTTTTACAAAAGGGAGTACACAGAAACCTCCAGCTATATTTCTCTATTTTTTTGGAATGAGTTCTTGCCACAAACCCCTTGGGTGGGTGGGATTTTTGCCATGGAACAGACACTGCTGGTTCTTGTATTGTTTCCAAGAACAAAATATCTGGGAAACTTAACAGTGCAATCCTCTGCAAGTTTACTCAGAATTCCAGTTTATCATTGGTTTACTCCTATGTAAACATATATAGAATTGCAGTCTTGATTATCCAAGTTTTATTACAATTGCATATGGATATGGGGCTTTCATATAGAAAAGTCAGCCATAATATTTCTCCAAATGGCGGGACAGGAAATCATGATCAGTGGGTGATTAGGGGATGATATGTAAATGCTTCAAAAACATCTGCTCTGATTTCGATGCCAAATCAGAGCAAAGCTTCCTTGCATCACAGAATCCATTATGCTGTGTAAATTATAGTCAACTGCATCTGTGGCAAACATTGACCATCTGTGGACTGCAGGCACTGATCTCTACAGAAAAGACTCAAGAGCCCTGCACCATTGAGAATCTAAAATATATTGGACTTCCGGTTTACGGCGGTGCGCTGAGCAGACTCACCTCCCAGACCTCCCGGGGGTGAAGCTGCGCACCAGCGGAAAGGAGGGGGGTGAGGCATCGCTACCCCCCCAGGAGCCTGGCGAAAGGCTCCTGGCCAGGGGACTTCTGAGAGGTCGCCTCTTCGTCAGCGCGATGCTGGGGAATCGAGGCGCTTCTCCATCCCGACGGTCCCTCTGCTGAGTGTCCGAACGGAACTAGTGACGATGACCGGGACAAGCGCTGGAGATTGAGCGGCTAAAATGGAGGCTAAGCGAGGTCATATGACCGAATATGAACAGTGAGTTGGACTAAAGCATATTTGCTATTTAAAAAGAAATCTCCTCACACCACAGACTAGAAGTAAAGCGAGTGGGGGAAGGGCCCCTCCCTTGTGCATAAACTTAAAAGCGAGACCGGGGGGGAGCGAAAGCAAAAGTGATAAAATCTGTTGGGAAAGACTTACCAAGGCGCGTATGAGCGCATATTCAGATACTTTACATTTTTTTGCGAAAGTAAACAATCCATAAAGATGGTGGGGAAGAGGACTGAGAAAGAGAAACTTTTAAAAGCGAAAGTAGCTGAGAGCCCACGACTCGAAGGAACCACCGAGCTGGCCAAAAGGTTGGCAGAGTCCCTGCGCCCCCTGCTGGATCAGATTACTAATCTCAAGGAACAGTTGTCAACAATGAACCAATGTATCACTACTCAGCAGACACAATTGAACGAGACTCTCAAAATTACGGAACAAACAGCTGAGAAAATGAAAGAAGTTGACGCCACCGCTCAGAAGGTGAAGGAAAAGGTACAAAAATTGGAAAAGAAGCAAGTGTCTACAGATGGA